AATATTTTATAAAATTTTATTCGTTGTTTTAATTGTTTAAATTTTAGTTCATCTTAATTTTTATACGTAATATCAATTATTTTCATAAGTTATATTCATATTAATAATTTGTAATAATTATTTTAATATTTGAAAATATTCAATATATCGAATCTAGATGATGAAGTAAAGTCATATTTAATATTTTATAAAATTTTATTCGTTGTTTTAATTGTTTAAATTTTAGTTCATCTTAATTTTTATACGTAATATCAATTATTTTCATAAGTTATATTTGAGAGTTTAAAAAAATAAATTTAAAAGAACTTATTCATATTATAAATTGTTTTAATAAGATCTTTTAAATAATATCATAAAATTTATGATATAAGATTAATTCAAATAAGTCAATTTAAACAAATAGATCAATGAAACTAAGATATTATTTAAATTGATTAAATTTGAATTTGTTTAAAAATATAAGTTTTATGAAAATATTTATTTAAAATAATTTATAAAAATATATCTTAAGTCAATTTTAAGCTTATTTTATGTGTTATAAAAATAGTTAAAAATTATTTTAATATTTAAATTAATAATTTGTAAAACTTGATTGTATAAATATTATATTTAAATTCTAGTTTGTAATAATATATTTATATATAAAATAATAAGAATTATTAATAAGTTTAAATGATTGAAAATATAAAAAACATTGCATTCAAAATACAAATTATAATGTAATAATAATAGTAATAAAAAATATTATATATATATATATATATATATATATATATATATATATATATATATATATATATATATATATATATATATATATATATATATATATATATATATATATATATATATATATAACTTTTTTTATTAATGTATAAATATAAATAAAGACTAAACTACTATTGATATTTATTTAAATAATAATCCAATTTTCATTTAATGACACGTGATTATTATTTTTTTACTTATATAGATTTACAAAAAGTCTAAAAGTTATTATCTAAGGAAAAGCTTTGAAGTCTAGAAAGTAGACTATATCTATTGGAGTATTGATATCTGTCAATTCCATTTAAACTATGGTGAAAACTGAGAAATCATTAATATATGTGAGAACCATCAAAATCTAACGTAACACGAGAATATTATTCAATAATAAAGTATGTGTAATGAAATGTTGAATAAAGAATTGAAAGTGATATGAATTAATATTACTTATATAGATTTACAAAAAGTCTAAAAGTTATTATCTAAGGAAAAGCTTTGAAGTCTAGAAAGTAGACTATATCTATTGGAGTATTGATATCTGTCAATTCCATTTAAACTATGGTGAAAACTGAGAAATCATTAATATATGTGAGAACCATCAAAATCTAACGTAACACGAGAATATTATTCAATAATAAAGTATGTGTAATGAAATGTTGAATAAAGAATTGAAAGTGATATGAATTAATATGTGTTGAAAATATTTAATATATTTTGTAAAATTTTATTCGTTGTTTTAATTGTTTAAATTTTAGTCCATCTTAATTATTTGGAATCAATTATTTTATAATAAATTAATTATTTTATTATTATAATTTTTACTAAAATTTATTATTTTTTAGTCAATAAATAAAAATTTGATTCATTTGATTTGGGCAAAAAAAAATTCACTTTTTCTCTTTATTTTTTCTATTTAACCTCTGATAAACTTTTATTTTATCCATTTTTATTTATTTTAATAATGATTATCTTTATAAAATTAAAAAATTTAAATAAATAAACAATATAAAATTAAAAAATATTCAAATAAATTATTTAATTAAATTTTTTTATTTAACTCCACATCCATTATACCCATTTGGATTATTTAAATGGGACCCACATAATTTTTTATATTATTTCACACTTCTCAATTTTTTAAACAATCCAATTCTCAAATATCCATAGAACTCATCAAAAAATCTAAAATGGATCACACATTTAATACAAATCAACTACATTCTTGCAATTTTATTTATTAATTTATTATCATGACCCACTTAATTGGAGTGTAGAAGCGTGCTTTAGTATGAGAACGTGTTTTAGTCCAGGAACATGAAAACAAGTGAAATATCCATTTATTATTGACACAATTTCTTTAATAAATGTGTAGGAACTCTCAAAGAACACGATAATCATGCTCTTAATTATTTTAATTTTATTTCAATTGATATTAATATAAAATCATAAAAATAAAAATATAAAAGAAAATAAAAATAAAAAATAAAAATAGTGAAATATGATGTTGAATTTTATTAAATAAAATTATTGTAATAAATAAAAATTAAATAAACGTTAAATTATTAGATAGAAGAAAAAATATAAAATATAAAAAAAATATTAAATATATAAATCATCATACATGATCTAAGCGGTTGAAATTGAATTCCTAACTTCAACAACATAATATTTGGCAAATAGGAGACACTGTGTTGGTTAAACCTAACTTATTAGTTGAAATTATTGAAAAGGAGGAGGCGGCAAACCTCTTTAAACTGCCATGTAAAAGTGTTAAAAAAAACAGATAGAAACAACCCAAAAATATGAGTACATATTAAAATATATTACATAAAAATTTAAAAATTTCAGTTTAATTAAATATAATATATAATCATTATTAATTGATAATATAAAATTAATTTATACTACAATAAATCATCAATTTTCTCATATAAAAAAACGAATAAACCGAAATGATTCAGAGAATCAAACACTTAAGTTCCAGTAATAAAAAAATACGTGCAAAAGACGATATTATCAGAATACCTTATGAATTAGAGGGCAAAAGTCAAAAATATAAAATAAAATGATTTTATCCTATCAATAAATAATATTTTTCTCAAATAGTAAACCTCATGCTCGTCGCTTTCTTTCCATAATATATTTTAATTTAATTTAATTCAATTTAATTTTCCTTTTCTGTATCGCGTCTTTATCTTTTTTGTTGGCGGTTTTCATTTTCATCTTCGTCATAATTCATTCATACCTTTGTCTCTGCAACTCTCTGAAATTGCAAATCTCAAAAGGCAAAAAAGTTGGAGAGAGAGGAAAAACACTCACGAAAACAGCAATCAATTATTCACTTTCTTCTTCTCTCTCTTTATTGCCAGCTCTTCAACTTGTCCTCCCATAACCTCTTTCATCTCTCTCTCTCTCTCTCTCTCACACACACACACACACACCATCATCATCACCATCACACCCTGAGATCTCAGGTATCTCCATCTCTCTCTCTCTCTCCGATCATTCTCCCCTTTTCTCTTCCCATACTTGTGTAATCTCTGATCTCGTACTCTCGCTTTTCTGATTCGGTATTTTTGATTATTGATCTGAGTTGGCTTCGATTGCGGTAACTTTTAGGGGTTTTTCTGTTCATTCTGTTCAATTTGTGATTACTGTGATGCTTGTTGATCTATTTTATCGGATTCTTAAATTTTGTGATTTCATTACTTTATGCATCAAGCTTTGATCGATTCTCATTATTGTAATTCGAGAGAGAAATGGCTGAAAGATCAAGAGCAGGTAGATCTTAGTATCCAACTACGAAGCAACGAATCATGTCGATTACTCGATCGTCTGTGTTGTTTGAAATTATTGTGCCAGTTCTTAGTATTTGATTGGTAGCTCAGATCAAGGGGAATAGTTCATATCAAGCATTACATTATCATCATAATTGTAGATATTTGTTTTTTTTTTTACTCTTGGATAGCTTTTTATAAAAGGTAACTAGAATTTTATGATGTTGAATCCATTAGGCTTAGATTTAGGACATTTTATTATATGGTGGAGCTAGGAGTGGATGAGAAACTATATGATGAACTCTTTGCAGTAATTTATATGCAGAAACTTCGTTATTTTTTTTCCCAATTAGCGATCTCCGCTTAATAAGAGAACTAGGGAATTTGAAATTTCATACGGATGATGAATGATGGATGGTTGTAAAGTAATGTGTACATTTTAGTTCTAAACAGGAAAAAAGAGATGCAGTTCACTGAAGATCTAAGAGTTGCTTGTCCATGTTAGAAAATACAAGGACTACTTGAATATAAGTTAAAGAAACCAGATGTTGTGTGCATTCGAAGAGAATGAATATCACCGCCGGAAGAAGTACTGTCAATTTGTAAACTTATAATATGCAACTGTGGGATATTTTTATGCATATTTAGTAAATGTAGCAGAAAGAGAAAGAAGATACGATAAAAAACATAAAACCCTCCTAGTATTTGAGAGCCAGGTATAATAGCATGATACGGCTTGTGACTGCGGATTGAATTTGAGTAAGGAGACAAATCTGTATTGTAATTGAAGAGAAACGTTTTGGAGGGTGTAAAGATACCAAAAGTTTCCAGAGTCTGATGGAATGTTTTGCTTGTAACTACTACTGAATATTACTTAAAAGGATTTGTTTTTTCCAAACACAGGGCTTCTGCATGAGTTTTAGGAGAGTTGGTTCCCGACTGCGATCATGATACCAAGTAGAATGCAGAATAAAGCCTGATACAACAGTAGTCCTGAAGTTAGTTATCATGCAACATTTTTAAACCAACAAGCCATATTATAAACTGAAAGTGTAACACCGTCATATTCATTTGATAGGGCTACACTAATGTTTTCACCCATATTCCCACAAATAAGTAAATGTTTGCACTGAAGAGATGATTATTCTGGTCGGAGCGATAATAAATGTTTCCACTTTTTGTGATTGTCTACTCCTAAAAAAACAAAAATATTATTCTTTATCTTTATGATGATTGTTCATGGTTTGCATTCCGAGTTTGTTGCTGATGTATTGTTCTCCAAGCTTGACACATCATATGGTGGAGTCAGAATATGCAATTATTTTCATCTACAAAGTGATGCATGATTTTCTCTTGCTAAAACATTCTTAACTCTTTTTCATCTCATGCAGTGGATTACTTTGAAATTTCTTGACGGTTTTTGCTGAAAAAACAGTATTTTAGAAGGACGTTTCAGCCATGTCTAGCGCTACAAAAGGGTTGGAACCAGCATTCCAAGGAGTAGGCCAAAAAGTGTATCCTTAATACAAGGGTGATTTATAAAATAACCTGTGAAGAATAAAATTTATTTATTAATATTTTTCCATTGAGATCAAGTAAAAATGGTACACATGATATTCAGCTATAACCGTTGTTATTCCTAGTTATATTGTTGTATGTTTGATATGCTATCAACTTGAAGGGGTTTTAGACTTAACTTCTTTTTAGAGGGACTGAAATATGGAGGATTGAGAATTTTCAGCCAGTTCCATTGCCAAAATCTGATTATGGGAAATTCTACATGGGAGATTCTTACATTATCTTGCAGGTGCGCACTGTATCCAATATTACGTAACATTTCTTTATACGTTACTGAACTTTGTTACTATTTGAAGCATTGTTGTCAGAATCGCGACTAGAATCGTGAAATCCATGGATTTTGCGATTTTACTCACCCTAAACGATCTGAATCGTGAGTAGAATCCTAATTCAGAGTAGAATCCCAATAAAGTCGCACAAAATTGCTAAATCGCAGCAAAATCCGCGATCTCATGGATTTCACCGATTTTGGGCTATGTTTTTTGGGTAATTTTAGAATGGGTAAAGATGACCCGTTTCAGTTTTGTGACCCGGTTTTAACCCTTTTTATTTAAAAAGGGGGAAAACCCTCTTTTACTGATATTTATTTGACGTTTGGGAGATGATCCAAGTAGATGGCGCATTAGTGATCTAATTTAGTATCTAGGCTTTAAGTATTTTGTTTTATATTTAAGATTTGAGACTTGGTTATTTTATGTCTGTTTTATGATTTTAAACTTTTGAGTACTTTTATATTTAAGATTTGAGACTTGGTTGTTTTATTATGAGTTGAATCCATCGATTTTGATTGCGATTTTCTATTAAGCGATCTTGATTTCCCCTTTCGATTCAACAAAACGATTTGAGTAGAATCCACTGATTTTGGTTGCGATTTACGATTTTTCGATCTTACTATCCTCTTTCGATTCAAAGTAATCTCTCGATTTTGACAACCTTGATTTGAAGACACCTAGAGGCTAAACGTTTCTGGAACCAGTTAATCTTTGTTCTGTGTAGGCTATAAATCAAAGCAAATAACCAGCATAATAGACAAAACAGCTTCAAATTTATGATGAAAAAGTTTTAATTAATTTCACGTGCAGACAACACAAGGCAAAGGAGGCAATTATTTGTTTGATATTCACTTCTGGATCGGAAAGGATACAAGTCAGGTTAGTTTGGACTTCAACCTTCCCTATCTCAACTTGACTTTTGTTTTATTCATCTTTTGCCCCCTCAAATTCAGGAATTGACTAAAATGTTGAGCCTTTTAAAAATAATCCTTATTGATGGCGGGTGTGATTTCCCTTGTAGGATGAAGCTGGAACTGCAGCCATTAAAACTGTTGAACTTGATTCATCCCTTGGAGGACGTGCAGTGCAGCACAGGGAACTCCAAGGGCACGAGTCTGACAAGTTTTTGTCATACTTTAAGCCATGTATTATACCATTAGAAGGAGGTGTTGCATCTGGCTTCAAAACACCAGAAGAAGAGGAGTTTGAAACACGTTTGTATGTATGCAAAGGAAAAAGAGTTGTCAGAATAAAACAGGCACGGTGTTCTCTATTTTCACGAACTTCAAGAGTTCAGTGCACATTCATTGACTATAAATGTGACTTTACATATTCCTTGTGCAGATTCCTTTTGCGCGGTCTTCGCTGAATCATGATGATGTATTCATCTTAGACACTAAGGAAAAGATTTATCAATTCAATGGTGCAAATTCCAATATTCAGGAAAGAGCAAAGGCTTTGGAAGTTATTCAGTTGTTGAAGGAAAAGTATCATGAAGGGACAAGCAATGTTGCAATTGTCGGTAAGGACACGAGACACATGTTTTCTTACAGTTACTGAAAAGCCTATTATACAATTTTGTGTGACTGTTCTTCAAATATGTATTTTGATTTCTTTGTAATGATAAAATGTATTCCACGTTGCAGATGATGGAAAGTTGGATACTGAGTCAGACTCAGGTGAATTTTGGGTCCTGTTTGGTGGTTTTGCTCCCATTGGGAAGAAGGTCATCAGCGAAGATGATATTGTTCCAGAGACCATTCCTGCTCAACTTTACAGGTATATTGATTTCATCCTGGTCACTCCCCTCCCCGTGCACTTTTCTTCCGAGCTTACTTGTTTCAAAAAGATAATCTAACTGTAAGATAAATCAATAGAAGAGGAATTTGTCAGCTATTAATAATTTGTTAGGTCAATACTGACCATATGAATGTATTTCTCTATGTGAATTTTATGCATATCCTCCCTTTTCTCCTTTTTCTTACATTACTTCAAATTTGATTTATTTTTGCCTTTAGAAATTGAATGTTTGCGTTGAGATATGTACATTTAGGCAACACTATTGTATTCGGACCAGTCGTTGACTTGGTCAAGACATAGAATCGTTGGGTTAATGACTGAACTAGTGGGACGCTAGTTGAACCATGGTTTGGTCTCTATTAAAAAATTCACAACATATCAGTTTCATTGTGGCGAACTGGGAAGCTGCGGCTGTAAAGTTGCAGCTTGGCCGAAGGTGGCTGTAGCAAAGATGAGAGGATTCCCAAGATGGCCATGGTGATTGTTGGGAATGGGTCTCACCGGAGAAGGTTTGATTGGTTGAATAAAAGCTAGAGGCAGAGAGAAACACGCCTAAGGGAAGGAGAAGCAAGATGACTGCACACACAACAGACAACTCTGGTAAAAAAACATGTTTTCAGCTGCCAACTAGAAGATTAGTCCAATAGCTGGCCCGAAGAGCTAAGCTGTGTGATACCTTGGAGCACCTACTAGGGGTCAAAGATCTTAATTACGGTGGATTGGAAAAAAGAGAGTAAAAGAGTCATAATATAACCAATCCTCATAGAGAAGAGAGAAAATGTGCAGGATAATGCAAGAGATGCCTCTACATGCGATTGATAGCATCGGTGGTGATAGGAAACATAGCGACTTCACACAGCATGTGTGGGTGTATGAAAGATACTCTGAAGCTAAAACTTCTAGGTTGGATACATAAGTGATTCTACTCTCGATGGTGGTGGTTGCCAGAAAAAGTCGCCCAAAAATTATTCAGCGGCAGCCATGCATATGCAGCCATAGGTTGCGGTTGCAATCTGTAGAGATGAAAGCAGGAGGTAGAATAGGAAAGGTCACGGGAAAGATATGTTGAAGCACTTGAATAACATGGAAACCTGCTGGGAAGCTTTTTTTGCTGGTGACCAGTAGCAGCAGCTCTCAACCACAATAGCTTCAAAGAACCCCACTATTAACAAAATTAAAACCAGCCCTAATAATAGCAGGTCGAATTTGTGATTTCTGTGTCAAAATCAGACCACAACTACCTCTACTTATAATGGCATATCAAATGTATACAATACATGCTAATTGATATAATTTTCTAATCCTAATATATGATTCCAATCCTAACAGTAAATACATGAATATGATTTAATACATGCCATTCCTTAAAAATTCCCAAAAAAGAAAAGCACAATTAAACCATGACTATGGCATTAATACGTAATTAAGAGCTCACAAATAATGAACTTAATGATAGAGCCTAATTCATCCTTACAAAACCGGCTTGTAAGGTGACGGGTGTCACTATATAAATCCTTTGTGGGCTCTATCTTTAACCAATGTGGGACTTGGGTTTTTCCCAATACACTCCTTCACGGCCAACACTATTGGGCTTGGTGTATGGATATAAACTGTGGGTGGCCTGAATTATGGATGTGTGGGACTTAGTTTTGCCAATACACCCCCTTGCGTGCAACATGCCCAACACTATTGGGCTTGGTGTGCATATCAACATAACAATACATTTCCTTTAACCTCATGTTGCAATGTTTGACTAGTCTGAGCAGGAGGTCTCTGAGCATTTGGCTAGATTTTCTGTTTCCGGTTCAACTGGTTCTGGCTTGAGTTTATTACTGTTAGAATTAATTATGATTGTAGATATTCTAGTGATTGATAGTATTCCTAGACTAAACAATTTCTTAGGTTAGTGCTTATTCATTAACTAGGTTAGTGCTTATTCATTAACAAGTAGTGTAATGAATAAGCGCTAACCTAGTTAATGAATAAGCACTAATCTAGAAAGTTGTTTAGTCTAGGAATACTATCAATCACTAGAATATTTGCGCTACTTGTGAATCATTTTTCCGTGTATATTGATGAACACCCGTAATTGTTCAGAAAAAGTTGAAGTTATTGAATGTAATCACTTGTGCCGATGGTGATGGTGTGTCGATTAACCACATGTGTCAATGTTGTGTCGGTATTTAAGTTCAACACGTGTCGGACACTGGACACACCTTTCAGTGCTACACAGGTGATACATAAGTAGATTTTGATTAATCTTGACTTAGGGTTTTTGAATTCTTCTGATTCCGCTGAAGGTGAAGATGTCTTTCTTGTTTGATTTTTTTTCCTGCTTAATACTTTGAGAGGTATAATAAACTCTTTTGAAGTGTAGGTTTTAATTTTTATTGTGTCTTATGACGTGTGCACTATGCATTTATGTTTCTTGATCATGAGGATATGAATCATGATTATGAGAATGCGTTTACAGTATTGCTGATGGTGAGGCCAAGTCTGTGGATGGTGAACTCTCTAAGTCACTGTTGGAGAACAACAAATGCTATTTATTGGACTGTGGTGCTGAGGTGTTTGTCTGGGTTGGCCGAGTAACACAAGTTGATGAAAGAAAAGCTGCTTGTCAAGCTGCTGAGGTAATTCCATTGCAGAATCCATATTTTTCTTATTATGAATGATTAAAAGTGCCGACATTAATTTTTTACTTTTTCAGGACTTTGTTACGAGTCAAAAAAGGCCAAAAGCTACAAGGATAACAAGGGTTATTCAAGGTTATGAGACACATCCATTTAAGTCCAACTTTGATTCTTGGCCATCAGGATCTGCTTCTACTGCTGGTGCTGAGGAAGGAAGAGGAAAAGTTGCAGGTGGACACCATTTCTTCTGACTTAAATGGTTTTTGATTGCAGTCTTAGTTACTGTCATGGTCTTGCAGAAAAACACGTCAATGCGGCTACTATTGCCTCAATCGCGGCTGCAAAGACATCAAAAACTTTGATGTCGCAGTTGTATAACTTTAATAAAAAAAAAACTCGAGTGTAATTTGGCAAGGCTTTTTGTGGATTAAGTTTCTGACAAAGCATAGTGTTTTTCTTTCTGTACTGCCAGCTTTGCTGAAGCAACAAGGTATGGGTGTCAAGGGAGCTGCAAAAAGTACTCCAGTTAACGAGGAAATTCCACCTCTGCTTGAAGCAGGTGGAAAATTGGAGGTGATTTTATTTAAAAATAGTAAATAAATATTTAGTTTCTTGGCTCAAATGAATGAATACCAGTCAATGTTTAATATTGTTAATGTTTTCAGGTATGGATAATCAATGGAAGTGCTAAGACTCCATTACCTAAGGAAGATAATGGTAAATTTTATAGTGGAGATTGTTACATAGTGCTTTACACTTATCACTCTGGTGAGAGGAAGGAAGACTACTTCTTGTGCTGTTGGTTTGGAAAACACAGCATTGAGGTAATGCATCATAAAAATAAAAATACATGAAAATTTTGTAACTTCTATTGCTTGGATTTTTATGTATTTATGACTATACTTTACAAGTTAACTTGGTTATGATTGCTTTTTCAGGAGGACCAAAAGATGGCTACTCGGTTAGCTACTACAATGTCCAACTCACTAAAGGGTAGACCTGTTCAGGTATTGTAATGTGAATTTCAAATTGATGATGCAACTTCGAAACTGGGTATAATTATTGTATTTTCATCCAGGGTCGCTTATTTGATGGTAAAGAATCACCACAGTTTGTCGCACTTTTCCAACCTATGGTGGTCCTCAAGGTATCATTTTCAAAATTCAATGTAGTGTTGCCACATAGTGCTTTATCAGCACTATAGCATAACATAATTTGAACAAATTGCTGTTATTTTGCAATATACTATTTAGTAGTATTGTCAAATAGTCGATGTTAAGAGTCTCACATCGGACAATAGACGACATCAACATATGTTTATAAGGGGAGACAATCCTCACTTTACAAGTCAGTTTTGGAAAGTAGTGCTAGGCCCAACCACAATTCTAACATGGTATCAGAGTTCCGTTGAAGATCCATTGGGCCACCTAGAGGCAATGAATTTTTTTTGTGATCTGATAAGAGTCTCACATTAGACAATATACGGCCTGAACATGTCTTTATAAGTGAGGACAATCCAAATCCTACAAGCCGGTTTTGTAGGGTTGGGTTAAAGCCCAATCACATTTCTTAACATGGTATCAGAGCCTGATTTAAAATCCAGTGGGCCACCGGCCATCAGGTTTCCTATATCGGGCCATCCACCATTTATTTCCACGCTCCAGTTGTCTAGTCTCGGGCATGAGGGGGGAGGGGGGTGTTAAGAGTCCGGGACAATATATGACATTAACATGTCTTTATAAGTGAGGGCAATCCTCCTCAGCCTACAAGCCGGTTTTGTAGGATTGAGTTAGGCCCAATCACATTTCTTAACAGTTAACACGATCCTTAATTGACAACACTGATCCAATGTTATTTTAACAAACATGTAAAGATTGTGTGAAGTTCACTGATTTAGCTGATATATTTTTTCCAGGGAGGTTTGAGCTCAGGTTACAAAAAGTTAATTGCAGAGAAAGGTTTGCCAGATGAGACATACACAGCAGAGAATATTGCTCTTATTCGGATTTCGGGAACATCCACTCATAATAATAAAACAATGCAAGTTGATGCAGTAAGTATCCCTTAAATTGTTCTTTTTTTTCCATCTTGGTTGTAGCTAGGTCTTCTTTCTCTACTAGTTGACCAAAGTTATGCTTTTGTTATTCAGGTGGCAACATCGTTGAATTCTACCGAGTGTTTTCTTCTGCAATCTGGCTCTACAGTTTTTACTTGGCATGGCAACCAATCTTCCATTGAACAGCAGCAGCTTGCAGCAAAAGTTGCTGAGTTTTTAAGGGTAGCTGCATGTTATTATAAAACACACAAATAACAATGTTATTACATCATATATTATTTGTTAACGTGTTACACATCCACGTGCAGCCAGGAATTGCTTTAAAGCATGCTAAAGAAGGAACAGAAACCTCAGCTTTCTGGTCTGCTGTAGGAGGAAAACAAAGTGTCACTAGCAAAAAAATCACTAATGACATTGTTAGAGACCCGCATTTGTTCACTTTGTCATTTAATAAAGGTAACATTTCTTGTAATTTTATTTCTTTGTATCAAATATTGTTCTAAACTAGTATTTTTATTTACTAATATTTGAATGTTCTTTGACCATTATTAACTGTGTATTTTTTTTCAATATGGATGTTCCAGGAAAATTACAGGTGAGTTTGTGACTGCAACTTTCATTCTGTGAACTTTCGCACAATTGTTAGGAAACCTGCCAGCAGTCACAATAACTGGACTTCTTAATGTCTTTTAAATCTAGTTTTAAAATCTTACTCTTCAGGTAGAAGAGCTCTACAACTTTTGCCAGGATGATCTGTTGACAGAAGATATCCTCGTACTTGACACCCATGCAGAAGTGTTTGTTTGGATTGGCCAGTGTGTGGACCCAAAAGAAAAGCAAAATGCTCTTGAAGTTGCCCAGGTAAGAATGCTTAACAGATCAGAGCTTTTGCTTTCTATATTTCATTTTCCTAGATTTCAGATTGTGTTCTATGTTACTATCTGTAATTCTATTCTCTAATGTTTGGTAATCCTTTCGCTAAATATTTGTGCTTTATTAGAATTTATTAGCAAATCAGTAAAAGAAAAAGTTGATGTATATTGGAAAGTTTTCCCACAGAAATACATAGAAAAGGCTGCATCTCTGGAGGGACTATCTCCTCAAGTACCACTATATAAAGTAACCGAAGGGAATGAACCTTGCTTTTTCACAACATACTTTTCTTGGGATCATGCAAAATCTACGGTATGTGCTAAACCATCAAGTAGCTCCCTTTTCTGTTTCTCTTTTTTCTTATGTTACATTTTTCTAATTGCCTATGTTTGATTGAAAATGGTATAATTCATGGTTAACTGATTCATTTAGCAAAAACCTATTGTCATCAAATATAGAGATGACAACAATTGAGTTTTATGACATGGTTTCCATTTTTAAAAACAGTTATTGGAGCTTGTATTGTAAGTACACAACAATTGCTCCCATGTATGAAACAGTGCCAATGAGTGCTATTAGTAAATTTACATATACAAAGTGTATCAGATGTAATAAGGCTAAACTGTTTTCTCCATTTCCTGGTCAAATCTTTGATTATAAGAAACAAAATGAAAACAAGATGACATATTTGTGAATTGAAAATACGGAAACAAAAAATACTTCTTTAAACCAAAAAGGCTCCTAATATGTTGCATTTTTCATTACATTAATATCCTATGATAAAATGCAGGTTCAAGGAAACTCTTTCCAGAAAAAGTTGGCACTGCTATTTGGGATTGGTCATTCTGTAGAGGTATAAGAAACCTGGCTTAATGACATGTAATTTTAATGAAAAAATTGTGACTGGAACCATACAAAATCTTACAGTTTTGTTTGCTTATGTTGAATGCAACACTAGAAGATGAACTTGTATCACGATTCATGAATCATGAAAAATGTCTTGGTTAGATCAAAAAGTGGTTATTGTAATTCATGTCATGCTTCTTTAGCTCCATGAATTACAATATGACATATAGGACCCTCAATATGTTAACCAAAACTAAACACCATTTATGTGGTATATACTTTATAGGGCTCAACGTCAGTATTGAATTCTTCACATTTCATTAGGGAAAATTATAAATGCATTATAATTTGCAATAAAATTTTGAGAAATTTTTTGATCTTCCTAAACACAATGTTCTAATATTATTCACATTTAGTGTCAACGCCAGAATCATTTTACTTTCAAATCGGGTTGTAAAATGGAATAAAACTTGAGAAACATTAAGGAACTAATGCTCTCTTTATTTATTATTTTTCTCATCATTGGTTTTGATGTGATGTACTCTTTTGATGATGATTAATCCATTCAATCAATTTTATGATTTGCCAACCTTAGTTAGTTATTTCTCTGCTACATTATAATGACTTTGTTTCAGGTTATTGTCAAGCCTGAAGTTAATTAAATCCGGTTAAAATATCAACAGCTGTGAAGGTCATATAATATGCTACAAAATTTAAGACTACACTATAGTTTTGAATTACGTCCTTTTTTCATTTTACACTAAAACAGAATTTTGGTGTAATTTAAGAGCCACTATTTACCTTTATATCTGTTCTATATATGATACTCATTTTTTATTTAAATGGTTTCTTGCTTGTGGCTCTATTTGTTTAACCTGGCTTTGCTGAATCTGTTGACAGGAAAAATCTAATGGATCAAGTCAAGGCGGTCCAAGACAAAGAGCAGAAGCTTTGGCTGCCTTAAATAATGCATTCAATTCATCTCCGGAGACAGCACCCAGTACTGTATGTTATCTTGTTTACAGATGACTTAATATCCTTTTCTTTAGAGTCGGTGAATATCAAACCTACACTTATTCTTTGGAGAAATTTACTAACTACGCTTATTGTTTAAATGACACACACATACCTTCTATTTCTGCAATAACAATTTGTTGTGTTGATATTGGACTTGTTTTGGAACACATTCCAAGGGTTTACCAAACTTACTCTTGAATATATGAAAATTTTGTGTAAATGTTTTTGACTTTAGGGGAGATATTTTGAAACACCTACACGCCCAACTACCCGAGTTAAAGCCTAGAAGGCTACAGAAGGACGGATTTTGAAATAACTGATATTTAATTGGACCATGAAAGTGTTGGGTAAAATTAAAAACAAAAAAAAGAAAAGAAATTGGTGCTTCCTTCTAATATTTTTTACTCTTACTGATACAGGATAGATTGAATAGCTTAAATCAAGGAGGACCGAGGCAAAGGGCAGAAGCTTTAGCTGCCTTAAACTCTGCCTTCAGTTCATCAACCGGAACTAAAGTTGTTACACCTAGGAAATCTCCAAGAGGTCAAGGATCACAAAGAGCAGCTGCAGTAGCTGCTCTTTCTAACGTTCTCACTGCTGAAAAGAAGAAACAATCACCTGACGGTTCTCCTGTGGCAAGCGGTAGTCCTGTTGTTGAAAGTAACACTCCCGGTGAGATATATTGCTCTTGTTTTCTTTTCTACAAATCAAACGAGTAACTTCTGATGATTTGACACGTTTGAGTTCTCTCTGCAGATGCTAAAAGTGAAACTGCCCCTTCTGAATCGGAAGGTCCTGAAGAAGTTACAGAAACCAAGGAGGCAGAGGAACTTGCTCCTGAAACTGGTAGCAATGGAAATTCAGAAACAAAACAAGAAGACGTAGAGGATGGGCTTGATAACCAAAATAGTCAGAGTGTCTTCACTTATGAGCAATTGAAGGCTAAATCTGGGAGTCATCTGTCTGGAATTGATCTTAAACGCAGGGAGGTTAGTCTATGTTTTTCATGTAACCGAGTTATTTAATATGTTAATTTAAGTGTGAAATTACCTTATACTATTGATTATATCAGATATGTTGAGGAGTATTTGTAACAAGTGAAATTATCAAGAGAGAGATACATGTCACTTGATTTTACTATTGATTCAATGCTATATGTTGCGATGTTGACATGTTTTTCTGTTTTCTTCTCTACTTGATGTTTGCTTAGGCTTATCTGTCAGAAGAAGAGTTTCTCACAGTGTTTGCGATATCAAAAGAAGCATTCTCTAAGTTACCAAGATGGAAGCAAGACATGCTGAAAAGAAAAGTCGATTTGTTCTAGACACTCAGATATACATTATGCTGCTTATGCGCATCCAAATATACCTTTCTTGAGTTGTCTTGAAATGCAGTTATCTGTTGAATGGTGTGGTTTTTTCTTGGTATATACCATACTTGGATTCCTATGCATATCATTTTGGTTTTGGCCTATGATGGACGTAGCTGTGGTTAGTGTGGAGATTGATTTATAGTTTATCTGTTTAAGTTGATGATGTCTCTTCCTCTTGTAATGTTCACATATTGTTGTAGCAACAAAGACAGTGAACACTGGACATGTTATATTCTTTCATTTGGTCAAGTTTGTATTGTTAAGTTGTGGTTTTGATTTTCTTTGTTGCTATTGGTTAGATGGCGGGTGTATATGTATTGCTTGTTATGCCGAGAATCTCAATATAAAAGAATGAAAATTTGTTTGTTTGTTATGTATGGTTGTGAATTATATAAATGCGGTGCTTCGGTATAAAAGAATGAAAATTTGTTTGTTTGTTATGTATGGTTGTGAATTATATAAATGCGGTGCTTCGGTTCTGGTTTTCTTATTATGTGCTTGTGGAGAATGAGATTTAGAAAATATGAAATGTTAACTATGAGATGAAAATGATCATTTTGATATTTATACGTTAGTAAGTAAAATTAATAGAGATTTTAGAAAATAAAATCAGAAGTCTTTTTACAAAGTAAATGAGGCTTAAAATTTAAAATAATATAATAAAATGTATAAAAAAAATATTATCTTAGTGCCCAAAAGAATTTAAGAAACCACAATGAAGTAAAGTTATATGCAAGTTTTGTTGCATCTATAACATGCAATAAATACTTGGATGATGTTAGAATTACTAATGTTGCTATTTGATTAATGAGCACTTTTAATGTTGGTATAAATGAAAATAATCATTTTGATATTTTTTTATTTATTTTTAAAAATGCACATAATTATCCACTTCAAATTGCTATGATTTTTTTATAATAATTTATATTTAACAGTATTCAAACCCGAGATCTTGATAAAAGCATACTTTTAAGACCCAACCTTCGCTACTAGCTACACACACATCAAAATACAGACTTTAACATAAATTTAAGATTAAATTATATGAGGATGTTGTAATATCTTTAGAATATTTTCCTTTGATCATGTTAGTGCGTGAGACACTCAAGGGGAGAAAGAGAGAGTAAGGAAATAAGAATTGTATTATTGAATTGAATTGTTATAAACTGATTTACAAATTAATTTATTTATATACAACTAACTTGTACACTAAGTAGGTTAACAAACCCTAATTGAGCTTGAGCTTAGATTATAATTTGGATTATATCTAATATTATATCAAATATTTTAATATATCTCATAATTCAAGTTGTCGAATCTACGCTAGTCATAGTCGATCTGAACTATTTATAATTTCTCTCAAATTCAGGAATATGTCGATCTTCAATTCTTTGATGAAAATATCGGCCAACTGTGCTTCACTTGAGCAATGTCTAACTTCAAGTTCACCTCAATTTACATTTTCCCTTAACAAAGTGAAATCTAGCCTCAATATGCTTACTTCTTCCACGCATAACTGAATTCTTTATCAAATTTATGTCTGATTTGTTGTCGATTTACAACATAAGAGGTTTCTTCACTTCGACCTCCATATCTTCAAGTACCGATCTGATCTAAATTGCTTGACATGCAACATAAGATTCTGCTATATATTCAGTTTCACACGATGATAATGCCATCACAGATTGTTTTTTTGAGCACCATGAGATTGGGACACCAAAAATTTGAAAGAAATATTCAGTTGTGCTTCTTCTATCATCCTTATTTTCACACATATCAGCATATGAAAAATAATTAACTGATGCTTCTTTGCCTTCAGAGTCTCGTCAAAATATAATTCCACAGTCTATCGATCCTTTTAAGTATCTCATAATTTTTCTTATAGCCTTCATGTGTGACACTCTTAGTTCACTCATGTATCTGCTCACTAATATAATTGTGAAACCTATATCAGGCCGACTATTGCACACATACCTCAGAGATCCCACAATTTGCTTGAACAAAGTTATATCGACTTTGTCTTCCTCTCCATTCTTCTTCAACTTCACATTTGGATGTGAAGTTCGACAGGTGAGGATGCATGATTCAAATAATCCATTCGGAATATCTTGAGTATCTCTTTGACATACTTTCTTTGATGTAGCACCATACCTTGATTCGACATTTGAAATTCCATTCCTAGGAAATGAGATAATTTTCCCAAATTCGACATTTTAAATTCTCTCTTCATCACCTCTTTGAACTTCGACAAGTTCTCCAAACTATTTCCAGTTACCACCAAGTCATCGACATATAAGCAAATGATTATTATATCTTATGCTACAACTTGAACATAGGCACCATACTCAGACTTGCATTTTACAAATCCCAATTCGACTAAGCATGAGTCGATCTTCTTGTTCCACGCCTTAGGTGTCTGCTTGAGGTCATATAGCGCTTTGTGCAACTTATATACTTTACTCGCTTCCTTCTGAATCACAAACCCTAGAGGTTGTGTGACACAAACCCCTTCTTCTAAAGGACCATTCAAAAATGACGATTTCACATCTAAATGAAATATCGACCAGTCTTAGTTGCATGCCAATGCTACCACTAGTCAAACAATCTCCAATCTTGCTACTGGAGCAAATATTTCAGAGTAGTCGAGTCTTGATCTTTGAAGAAAACCTTGAGCTACTAATATTGCTTTATGTCTTACTATCGACCCATCAACATTGTGCTTCAACTTGAACACTCACTTAACTTTGATAGCTTTTGTATGTGCTGGCAATTCGACTAACTCCCATGTTTTGTTTCTTTCGATTTTCTATAACTCTTCGACCATAGCAGGCTGCCACTGTTTAATTTTGAAAGCCTCACTATAGTTAATTGGTTCAGCGCCTGCTAGTAAAGTAAAACAAACTAATAATTCTCCATCTGATGTGACTTCATCATCACCAACCACTTCATAATCATGAAGTTTTGGTGGAAAAACTCTAGTTCTTTGAGGTCTTTGGCTTGGGCTAGCCACATCCTCTTCGACTTCGGCAATTTCAGGAATGTCAGCACTTGCTTCGACTGGAATATTTTTAATTTCTTCGACTTCGAATTCATTAGTTTCTCTGTCGAAACCATAACTCATCAATGGCTTGTTAATTGCATCATTAGAATTCCAATCCCAGGCTAAATTTTCATCAATCACAATGTATCGACTCAACACAATCTTCTCATTAATTGGGTTGAATAGCCTGTATGCACCAATTTTATGATATCCTACCAGAACCATAGGTTCACATTTGTCATTAAGCTTTCTTCTTCTTGCATCAGAAACATGCTTGTAACACATAGAGCCAAGCACCTTCATATGACTCACTGATGGTCGTTTTTGCCACTCCACACTTCTTCAGGAACATTGTTCTTCAATTTCTTGGTAAGACACTTGCTCAAGATATAAACTGCAGTTGAAACAACTTCACCTCATAATGATTTTGGCAAATTCTTCTGCTTTAGCATGCATCTCGCCATATCAATATGGTTTTGTTTCTTCTTTTTGAAATTCCATTATGTTGAGGCGTATGAGGAGTAATTATCTCATGATCAACACCATGTTTTGCACAAAAATCTTCAAACATCATGGATGTGTATTCGCCACCTCCATCTGTCCGCAGAACTTTGATCTTCTTCTCACTTTGGTTTTCGACAAGTATCTTAAATCTTTTAAAGATTTCAAATACTTTGTCCTTTCATTTGATCACATAAATCCAAAGCTTTCGACTAAACTCATCGATAAATGAAGCAAAATATTTATTTCCATCAATGGTATGTTCTTCGAATGGGCCACATACATCTGAATGTACCACTTCGAGTATGCTGGATGATCTCATTGGTATAGTCGAAATGAAAGAATTTCTAGATTGCATTCCGACTAAACAACCTTCATAGAGCTTTTCAAGCATCTCAAGAATTGGGATACAAGTTACAATATCTTGAGTAATCAGCTGATTGAGTGATCGAAAGTTCAAATATCCAAACCTCAAATTCCACAACCAACTATCCATGTGGTCGACAACATTTTTTAAACATTGAAATTTTGTCAAACTGATCATAGTCTTAAATGTCCCGTTCTTCGACAGAGGAGATTTCAAGACCAAATTATTCTGGGTGTCGAACAATTTTAAAGCTCCATCTTTCATGACAATTGAGAAACCTTTTTCAACCAGTTGTGAAACACTTAGCAGGTTGCACTTCATTCCATGTACATAGAGCATATCTTCGATCATAACTTTCCCTTCATTACTGATTTAAAAAACTATGTTGCCAGTACCTTCTGCTTGCAACAAAAATTCATAATGTCAACGCAAGGTCTGCAACTTGACAACCTTGACTTTCTCACCTCCTTCATAGTACTTGACAAGAATATCCCATGCCTCCTTTGCAGATTCATCATGATATATCCTGTTGAAGTTCGCCGCATCGACCGCCGTCTGAATGTAATACACAACCTTGTAATCCTTATTCTTGGCTTCATTGTGGGCTATTTTATGTGTGTCGGTTACATCTGCAACCAGTGCAGAAACACCATTAGTAACCACTTCTAGCGTTTCATGAAAGCTAAATAGAGATTGCATATGTTTTCTCCATTGAATCCAATTCTTGCCGTCAAGAGTTGGAAGAGAATTCAAAATGCCATTGATACTATTCATCTTCGCAGCAATTGCTAGTGAACAACCCACAATCTCAGAAATATGATCTTTGATGTGTGATTCTTGAAAACGCGATCAAGAATCTAACCAGAGCTCTATATATCAAATTTTTAGTGCGTGAGACACTTTTAGTGAGGGGAGAAAGAGAGAATAAGGAAATAAGGATTGTATTATTAAATTGAATTGTTATAAACTTATTTACAAACTAGTCTATTTATATACAACTAACTTGTACACTAAGTAGGCTATCAAATATTAATTGGGATTGAG